ATTATTATATAATAAAGTAAGGAGCCCGATGATGCTATGGTAGCACGATCGATCTACGATGCGGTGCATAGCTATGCAACTTTCACAAAGGCCAGTTCATAGGATCTGTGACCAAATTTATTATGTTGAATAGATTTTAAGACACTGATCCCGAAGCCGGCTACCTCTGCAACCATTTACACCTAGCAATCCTCACCGAGCCCTCGTGGATAGTTATCGCCAATTCACTTTATTCCATTTGACTCCATCCGCACTGGGGACATTAATAGGCTGACGATAAATAAATATTATAACAAATAAAACAACAAGTTGAATTATAAATCATTTTTATTTATTTGTCGGTATAAGAGGCTGTAAAAGTTATTGTCTAAAAGTTTCAATTTATTTATTTTTTGTAAAACTACATAGATACAAAGTTACTAATTTAAGTAGCCAATGATAAAAACAACAAATATGACATTTCGTGTCGTACATTATAAATGCACATATTGAAAACATCTTCAATTAATATTCAATCACGTTTATTGTATCCAAAATTAATTATTTAATACTGTTCGACTCCTTTTGTCCTTCTTAAACGTAGTTGAACTTTACGGACACAGGCAATTAAATAAATAAGTAGGTAGGTATTATTACAGTAACTATAAAAATTGCTAAAGGTATGTAATGTAGGTACACTATTTTATGGCGAGTTATAGGTAATATAAACGAATTGTCTATGAGTTCGGTTATATTTATTTAAAAATGGAAGCATTTTAAGCATAGCGTCCACTAGGCAAACATAATTGAATTGTAATGATTCTCCTCTACGTTTACTATGAAATAGCGTCTATTAGCTGCCCTGAAACAAGCTGAATTGAGCTGAAATGCGGCGAACACATTTCTTCTTTACTCAGCGCGGCTCTAGTAGACGCCAGGCTTTAAAAGTGTCAAGTTTGGAATCGGTAGGAGAGACCCAAGCGGGTGTATGGCACATGTGCATAACATAGCGTACTGAGACATTTTTTACACATTCATAGTACAATCGTTATTGTAACACAGTCTTTAGAGCATTACTATGATTCTAGTATAAATTTAAACAATTTTATTAAATTATTTGGTTTATAATGAACGAATATTATGTTAAACCAAAAGTACCATTTCAAAATTATGGCAAGTAAATAGGTAATAAAATGTATTTTATGCTCTTTATCCTTATCAGGTTTAATACACGGTATACAACAAACTCATATAATTCTCTTTTCAAAATTGTTATTTTCCTTTAAAAGTGTACAAAACCGAAATAAGTAAAAGAAAAAAGAGGTTTTATACTATGTCAATATCGTTCGAAGGAATTGTTATGAGTTTGTGAATACAGCATCGCATCACACATATAGCCAGCCTGCGAGTGAAGTAACCTTTACCGATGGGTTTATCGATATGACAGTGATAATTCTTACTATCTCTATTCGATACAAAACTACAAAACTAGATACTGTAATGGAAAACTCTTCACATTACCAAAATACTGCTTCTACGCTAAAATTATTGGTTTTATTTTATAATTAACGAGTCAAGTATATCGGTACTTTGAATAATTTATTAAATTTTAACGAAAACGACGCGAAATATATCACAAAATATTTATGTTTACATCAATTTTACGTAGTGTAAATGCTATTTTTGAGGTGTAAATTTCGTATCGTTTTCGTTTGACTAAGACATTACATACAGACATTAAATAAATTCAAAAATCATCCATCTTCACTTATAGTTCGTAGTCCATTCATAAAACTTTCACAATATATTTACAAATCTCATAATTTGGACATTATCAGCGAATCACTTAATTACCGCGAAGTATTTGATCGTTTTTTTATAAAAATAAAATATATACAAAATATACAAGAAATGTAACTATACATAACCGTGCTTATTAAAGACGGAAGCTAATTAATTCCACACTGTTCAATACATAGCAGGCACACCTACCATGGTTACATAAATAAAACTACTTACTATTATTTTAACATCGATAAATATTGTTGATTCAAAAAATGCATTATAAACGGAGTGTTAGCATATTTTTAACGCGATTTACCCAATTTTATTAATTGTGTTACTCGATCCGTATGTATCTATGCCACAATAAGTAACTTGTTTTATTTCAGATTTTGAAAGAAATATGTGTGCGTATTGGTTCGGGGAAATCACGAAAATCGTCGTTTTCAGAATTACACCTTTGTAACTACTGCACCTTTTGTAGAACAGAGAACGCATTTATTGAAGGCTTAATAAATGGGAAAAGGCAGGTTATAGTTATTACGGTAAACTAATTGTAAGGGATGACTTTACAAAACTTTAAAACTGGAACACTGTTAAAATACCTTGATCATAGTACATACATGTATGTATAGTAAGATTATAGTGAAAGTAATACTGCTTAATCAACAGATAATCCATAGAAGAAGACTATGATGAAAGAATGAGATTTTTAGGTATTGTGAATGGTGAAAAAGGAATCAAATGAGGAAAACGAAGCGATTGACTCTATTCGAGTATTATTAGGTGAACATGTTTAGAATAAATAACCGTGAAGATATGATATCTAGCAACTTCCATATCTACAGGTATCTGCAACACCTGGGGTGCGACCGCTTAAATCTCAAGCCTTGATTCTAGCCTTAGGATATTTATCCCAAAATTATCCGCCAAATGACATGTCACTGTATTAATATGAAACGAAATATCGCCATAACATCGATAAGATGTCGTATCCTATAATTAGAGTGTAAGACGGTCGTTCTGCTGCTGTGCACCGCCTGTACACAAATTCTCAATACTAACGGTTGGCACTGTTGGAGGGGTGAAACACGTGTAATGATTTTGCGAGATTTGTTGCAGTTTGTTCATGTGTTTTATATACGGCGGCGCACTACAGGACTTACAGATCATAGTTTCACAGTCATAGCAATAGACTTTCGCAACAAAACACCTGACTCTATTAAATAAAATAAATAAAATAACTACGAATTATTTTTTCGCTGATCATGTCCAGAAACAAACTACGTACTGCGAGTGTGGTCTAAAGAATGTATTTGCGTAATCCATTCAATCACAATATTTGCTTTTACACATACAAACATACGAGTAAAATATAAACATTCAACGCACATATTGTTAACCGAACGGACTTAAATTATAATACAATAAAATAGGCTCACTAAAATACAAGCGTATGAAATCCTACGTTTCTACATTCGGTTGGAACTAATGGGGAAAAGTGAATAAAAAACATCAACTAAAACGTTAACAAAATACACTTTCTCTATGGAAAATAAATAAATTTACAGATTAGATACACATTTTAGATCTACTTACTAATAGTTACTTCTTTTACTTTTTTATCACTACTCCATATTTTTTATTTAGCTAAGACAAGTAGCCGTGTTGTGAAAATATGATAGAATTCGTGTTTCTCCAAAAGCGAAAATGCTGTCTCCAAAAAATAACTGTGTCCTAATTTAATACTTATATAAACTATTTCCTGTGCATCAACAATCTGTGATATTCTTTACTTGGTTATTATCTTTACAATTAAAGCTATTGTTTATAAATTTCAATACAAAACCACTTGCCTTAGAAATAATTTAACCATAATGTAGAACTCAGAAGCTTGCCGTCACGTCGCTACACTATCCTATCAATAGTCTAGATCGAAACCAACGTTAAATATTAATACTCAGTCCAATTTTCAGTCATTGCTTTACGAATACACTTCGAATACAATGTGCACCTAAGCGCACTCAGCTAAGTACAAAACCTTTCCGTGTTCTACTAGTGATGATCCGACCAATTCACATATTTTAGAACCAAATGACAGAATAAAAAATAATATCATGCAACATTATGCGTGAAAAACTATCGAGCAGGTGATAATTTCTTTATTTGAATAACTACTTAAAGGGCACTTTGTAAAAAAAATAGGGACATTTAAGATATTTGGGTGACGGCCAATGGGCATTCATTTGTAACGGAACCGAATGGACTGCTATCGGATCCATTAAAGAATCACTTAGACCTAATTAAATAGAAATCTTATAGAACGATTAATAGATGAGAGCGGAAGATCCACCAATAAATAAGGAGACATATGATACTGTCCATTTAGATAGTCACAGAACCTTGTTTATTGAACATGAATGCAAAACATAGCTGCGCCGTCATTAAATATTTCAAAATCCTTTGATCGAATCATTACCGGCAAGACATTTTGCGAGCTTCTAACACGGTTCCACTTTATAAAAAACTATTCACGACTCAAAATATTTCGATAGTCATTATCAAATTAAATTAACATCTAAAACAATTTCATGATTAGTTACAGTTACTAAGACAATTGGAATCGTTTTTGTTTAATCTACGTTTTAAAGCGAACTAGGAATATAACTTGAAATAGATAATTTCAGTAGCTTTGGTAGAATAATATCATACGATCGTTATTGTTGCCTTTGGGCTGTATACAAGTCTTATTTAATCGACTTGATTATTGAGTATTAAATAAATTTAATGACGATCATTAAAATAAAGATAATAAGGGAACAAAGCTATCTATCTAAACAAAGTGACTAATTCAGTAACTTGAAGCTCTTACCATGACTACTTATTGCGATTCAAAAAAAATGTCGTTAAAGCGACATGCTGTTAATATAGTATATAGCATCATACCGCTTCAACTACTGCAATTGCATCCGGTTAAAACTCATTGTAAGTCTTCCAGTTCTTTAAACTTAGTCTTACGAATATTTTAAGATTCAGAGAGCAAATTGGCAATCCATAAAATCTATACATATCGGAATCAAATCAAAGGCACAGAAGCAAATGTTTTCTCTTCTGCCATAGATTTTAATGTTTTGGGACACTGTTTTTTTATTGGGAGAGTACAACTTTACATTCACGATGGACACATGAGAATTGTGTCTCAGGAATGGTTTGGAGATTCAAAGAAGCGTAAGTGTGGAACGGTGTTAGTGAGCGAGCGCAACGGCAGCTCCGACCGCGACTAGGGAGCGGGTCAGGCGCGACCGACCGCCTCCTGCGCGGTCGCTGACCGAAAAAACTCTATGTCTGTCGTCGTAGACATGGTAGACATGGTGGACTCATCCCAGCTCACCTCCGTTGTAGTAGTCGTCGTACCATTACCATGTTTCCGTCGTCCTTTAGGATGCCTCTTTTTTTTCGGGTTGTTAACTTTTTTACGCTTCCGTTTCATCCTAAGGTTTTGCTTGTGTAAAAACTGCAAGCAATTTCTGTGTCTTGGTGGGGGTCTCTTTAGTTTTCCGTGGTGTCGTCTCGCTGGACACTGCGTATGTTTAATCCTGTGCCCTTCCCATCGCCTCGTGAGAGTCAGTGCGTATCTTGATAGGTTGCCGAGCTGTCTGTTCATCGGGATCTGTGTCCGTCTTGACTTTCCTCGATTGTCTAACGCTAAATATGTTTTCTTCCCGCTATGTATTCGCGAGTATGTGTTGTAGTTATTCTCTTCTATGTGCTCCTCGAACACGCAATCATCCGAGAGATACTTCTGAAACAATAGAGAAAATTAGAATTAGATATTTTACTTATCAATTAAAACTTATATTTTATTATCTTCAAGTGCTTATGACTTTAGTAAATTCTAAGGTACTGGCACGACCACCTGAGCATTCAAATTGGAGCTTCCCTTTTAAGACGCAACATTGCCTTGAGACAGGCCCGTTAAACCACAACAAGGTATACTGACTAAACAGATTGGCCATTTTATTCATAAATATGTATAAGTGTATCGCCAGCGGGTATACTAATGCCACTTAAATTGTCCCAAGAGTCGGGCATTAGCAATTCGAGGACATTAAATTCAATCCATGGTACTCCACAGCGGACTTCTAGGTGGTGGGTGAAAATTATTGCTTCACTGATTTATAGCATCAGCAATTTGTGCCATCAGGAGCTCATTACGTCAGTTATCAAATAACCTTAACTTGGTTGTTTAAAAACAAGTTTTTGGTAATGATTAACATGTTTAATTTAATCGTATAACTAAGTTGAAACGCGAAAGTATCATAAATCAGAAAGGAACACAGTTTTACAGCTCGCAGATTTACAGATACAACAGTTGGAATTGCAAATAGTTGCTTTTATTATTTAAATTTTATCTCGTAAACATTTCTAGTGTAGATTAGAATTCCTGTAAATGTTGGAGCGTTATCGAAGGTACGATACTTTCTAAACATACCCCGTGTGGTGAGAGGAATCTCTTAAAATACATTTTGCAGTACATAAAAGTAAACGACACATCTAAACGAACTTTTATAACGCTAACCCGTTTGGAACTAGGAAGGAGTCTAACTAAAGATGTAACTAACTAATTGTATGAGAGTCCTAACGTTCGGGGGCTGCGTACCTCCCACAGAGGGCGCCCGCTGGGCACATTAGTAACTTGCTATTTTATAACAAATTTCGTTGGAAACGCTTGGCAGCCTAAGGCTTTCATACTAAAGAGTGCAAAATAATTTCATTCTAAAGAGTCCTCATAACTGTACCCGGTGTTAATCGAGGAAGACAACTTGATTGCGTAGAATGGAATTCGTTTGAATAATCACGATCGAGAAAATAAATAATATAAGCCTTTGTAATGGTTGCAACGAAGACCACAGGAGGCGCACTACGAAATTATTATGTTAATTGTTAAAATGATAATAAGTTTACTAACAAATGACATCGCTTGTTTTGCTAGTTGTTAATACGATAGTTCTGAAGATTTTTTAAATTGACAAAGAAATAACAAAATATTATACGGTAGAATAATGTTATTTCTATGTTGGTTGATAATTTCTATAATTAATTTCCTAAAATTTCCTAAATAATTTAATATTGCTTTCGTTTGCATCAATTATATTGCCTTCACGATATTAGAGCAAGATATTCAGAAGCATCTAAAGCGAAAATATAGTTGAATGCTAACCCCATAGTATTAATTTCTGCAAATATCATAAAGGCGAAAGTTTTTGCGTAATTTCGATAAATCATATCAAGTCTGGATATAATTTCTTAATTTCGATAAGTCTGGATATGTTACGTATATCCGTTTCGTTGTTATTTGGTGGTTGAGTGACTTAATTAAAATATTAATTAGTTGCAACTCCATAAAAATGTTACAAAGTTATTTTATCGAAGCCCTATTAGGCAGTATACCCACTTTTGAATGAAGCGATAACGAAAAGCGATATGAGATATCGATAAAAATACGTCCCGATACAGATTCAACATATTGATGAGGATTTACGTTCAAAGTTATTCTGTAGTTTTTTGTTGTTTAGGTAGCTTATTTTTCATTTTGATAATTGATTGCCAGTTTCTTGAGTGTTTACTTAAATTTACCTACGTATGCTAAAATAATTATATAGAAAAATTATTGTCTGTGATAAAAAGTAAATATTATAAAACTTAGTAAAAATTTTAAAGATAGATAAATATTAGAAAACATTACATATTTGCTCAAATTCCAGAATACGAAGATAACCTGGAATCAAGAAATCGACACCTTGAAGCGATTTTATTTGGCCGATAATGAGGAAGTATTTAAAAAAACATTAGTTCCCGAAATTAAACTAGATGTCGCTACGGTACGTTCTTGATTTCTCCATGACAACCTTTGTGGTTTTCTTTCAAGTTTAAAAGTAAATTAGTTTTCAAAACTCAATAAACAACTCATATTCTATTTGCACTTTTTCGTATTTGTATGGATATCTAAGTTTCGAACTTTTCAAATTTCAGTTTTTTAATATGTTAGTTAAAAGAAAGGGAAGCGACTGTCTTTATTCCATTCGTTTCCTGCAAAAATCAACTTTTGCTTGAGTCGCCATCTAGTGGAGGTGCTTTTTTAGTGCTCTCGTTTTTATTAATACTTCTTCATTTGATCGCTGTGGTAAATCAGCATGTAGGTATTTAGCGAAAAAAAACGGGCTTTTGAAGTTTTTAAATGATCGCTATCATACTATCTACCGACTGTAATTGCTGATGCGTTTAAACTTTTATGGTTTTTTAGAAACTGTAATCCAATTACTACAAACACTCCTTTCTCCTTTATTTCGGAACCTACAACGAATAAAAATAAAAATAAAATGCAATAAAATTATGTAGATCTTTCTCTAAATAAATTAAGGAATACATTTTTTGATGCGCCAATCCGACTTGCATTTGACCGCTAATTGGAAATATTTAATTTCAAGTTCCGCCTTTTCACCACGTTTTATTAATAACGAAACCTATAATAATCTTTTACCAACAAGCTTGTGATAATTTTATAACAGTAAGCGTAAATATTATTAGCATACATTTCAAGTCGATAAATCTCACGAGCATAGGTCACAAGTTTTAGCGATACTATCGATAGTTACCCGGCTATCGATAAATAAGAGCATCGATAACGGCTCGATACCAGCCTGAAGGGTTATCAGGACCATCTTTATGGAGTAAAAATAAATTGATAGAATAGATAGGATGGCGATTCCAGGGCCTTGTAAAGGATTCGATATGACGGAATTAAATTTTAGTGTCCTTTTAAGGACACCTCAACAGTCGTCATGTGATTATTTTTTTAAAGTATTCGTTAAAGGATGGTATCGTATGTCTATTAAGGGATATTTTTTTTGGATTGATGTATCCATAACATTTTTATCTTTTCCGCGCTTACTTATGAGACTGATTTTTATTAACTACAGAATTTTACAGGTAAATTAGGCAATATATGCTACATTTGTAGTCATCAATACATCAAGACTACCTCCGCAGTCGATTGGATTGCGCGCCTTTCGTTTCGATTTCGGTCGTTAGATTCCCGGTCGGGTCAATGAACTTTTCTATATTGTCTCGGGTCTGGGTGTTGTGGTACCTTAGTTGTGTCAGATACTCCATAATTTAGCTACGCTTTAGCTACTCATCTTGGAATCTGAGCAATGTATGTTATGTTGTTTAATATATAATTCAAGAATCAATAGCAACTTGTTTTGATTGGTTGCCTTGAAGAGATTGCCGCATAGCAATAAGGCCGCCATTTGTGTTATGTTTCTTCTTACTTATATTCCTGTAACCTGTATTATATTGACTGCAATAAAGTATATTATTATTAATATTGTTTATTTCAACTGACAATTAATTTCATTAAAATTTAGATAGCACTAAAAGTAATTTAATGAAAAAAGGGTCTAATAAAATACGTCCCTGTTTATTTTGGATATAAGGGAGTAATATTATGTAGGTACAATTTGTATACAAAATGCGGTATGTTTATTTTTCAAGCGTTAATACCAGGGGTTCGTTTAAATCTGTCTGACTAGGCAAGTCTAATTGACATATTTATTATAGCATAAATTACTTCGGAGCGCGTAAATTAAGTTTCCAAGTACTTTCTAATTTTGCATTAAGTTCTATTATAACATTTAGTATGATGGTAACACATATGAGTATTTTGTAACAACATTATGTATTCGCGCAAACATCGTGCTGAACAATTCATTACCTCCTTTTGAAATATACTTATTATTTATGATTTAGTCTATGTTATAAAAATCTTTGTTTTTTATTTATAACTACAGTGATTACTCATTAAATTATATTAATGTTTTTATTGCTAAATTCAAACAGAATGGCTAATAATTATAATACATATATTTTTTTATCTAAACCATAAAGATATCTATTATCTACTCTTTTCAAACCATATTTAACCTTTACGAATTAAGAAATATTGAACAGTAAAGAAAATGAATCATTAAATTTATTATTTTTGAGGTAACTGGCTTACAAAAACAACTGATGGCGATCAACATGGTAAACCAACGCTGGCGGCGGCGGCGCGGGCACCTAAAAACGCCGAACGTGACACATTCACAACCGCAGATTGTTAATATTTCCGAGAAGAGATCTGTGAAAGATCGATGAGATTCAAGTTCCGAGTAACATGCACCTTTTGACAAGATTCCGCTCGATCCGATGTATCTAAAATTTTGATTTCGTCCGTCTGTCTAGCTTCATCAGATCTAAGGCAGTCTGTCATATATACGTGCCGCAACGACAAAGTCTACTTTAAATAAGTTATTAAAATAATTGGCTAGATATAAAAAGTCGAGATATTAATCTCATATTTTTCTGAACTAACACGATTTATAAACCTCCAATAATAATTATAAATTAACCATAACATATAAATTATACGTCAATAATTTTTGATCTAGACTATTTAGACGCGATAAAAAAGCCTAATCACAAAGTATGGTATGAAATATATGAAAACCATTATTAATCTTAATATCGAGACAGGCAGCAAAAAGATTGTTTAGACAACCTATTATTACAGTCTTTGGTTAGGACTCAGACAAAATTATGACTATTATCTCCTTTAAACAGGAACTGTTAACGATTAAGATTTATAAAAAAGTCAAGATGTTTAGTTAAGATAATTTTGGATAATTAAGACTGTGGTTTATATTTTTTTTAATTATGGAACTATTAAAAATATATATAACCCCCTTTTTACATAGT